ACCAATAAAATGCACTGAACCAAAGAGGCCTAGAATGGCCTCAAGGAGATTCAAACAGTCTGGCTTATCTGCCCCTTTTGAAAATATAATGTTGGATTTCCTCACCATGATGTCCCAGATAAAGCTACAGAAATTTAAATGTACAATATTAAAATCAGCTTTAAACAAATTACAGCCAAGAGATATGCGTAGGTCCTAACACACGCATGCGCACACGCACACACAAATATATATGTATCAGGTGTAAAGAGGTCTGTCTTTGAGCACATCAGGAGAAGAGTTAAATCGCAGTGTCAGTTCCCATGAGGCTGGTCCCTTTCTAAGTCATTCAAATGTCCCCACAGCCATACAGGAGCTTGCTGATATATAAACAGTTCCTATATACCCGTGAGAAAAATCTAAAGCAGCCTCACCTCTGCCTTGACATGTGTGACAAACATGGTTGTTTTCTGGTGCATTGTTGGCCTTACTTGCCTTTTTTTGGGGGGGGGAAATGGGGAGATGCTCTTAAAAAGCATCTTTAGCACTGATATACCCATGATACTTCCAGGTTTGAACACAGTCTGCAAGAGGTCCTTCTTAGTGACAATAGTGGTTCCCAAACATTTTTCCAATTGAAAATGGTTGGTGATCTTGGAGGGACCACTTCATGATTTTTCTACAATTGCAATGCACTGTGCTGGATGCCGCATGCTTTTTAACTGTATTTTTATTGTTTCTTTCATTTTCTTACTTTGAAATTGTTACGTACCAAGCTTGGATCCTAGAACAATAGGCAAGTAGGATTCTAGAATGCAACAACTGACTGGCTTACAGGAAAAGACCAGTCAGGCTCCAGGAGGGAAGCAGAATCAGCCAATCAGATGGAACTCATTGTGTAAATAATGTATATAAAAGCCTGAGGTTTCGGGGGCAATCCAATCACTGTTTTACAAGCTGCAATAAAGAACATGAAATCACTACAGGACTCTGAGTATATTTCAGCAATTTTAAAGGTAAAGGACCCCTGACAGTTAAATCCAATCACGGACAACTCTGGGATTGCCGTGCTCATCTCGCTTTCAGGCCAAGGAAGCCGGTCTTTGTCCACAGACAGGTTTTCCAGGTCATGTGGCTAGCATGACTAAGTCACTTCTGGCAAAACCAGAGCAGCGGACGGAAACACCATTTACATTCCCGCCAGAGCAGTACCTATTTATCTACTTGCACTTTGACGTGCTTTTGAACTACTAGGTTGGCAGGAGATGGAACCGAACAACAGGAGCTCACCCTGTCGCGGGGATTTGAACCGCCGACCTTCCGATCGGCAAGCCCAAGAGGCTCAGTGGTTTAGACCACAGCACCACCCACATCCCAATTACTTTGCATTTTACTATATTACACTTTGTGCTCCATAGATTTCAAACTGCAGTACAATAAAACGCAATATAAGAAATAAAAGAAGCAGTACAAATACAGTTTAAATAAATATGAATATTTAATGTGTACACACCATGGACAACTTGACTGACACTCACAGACCACTTGTGGTCCATGGACCACAGTTTAGGAACCCCTAGGTTACAAGCTGGGTTCCCATTTGTGCAATGCTTTCCTCTCACACAGAATCTACATTGGGGCCTTTCAAGCAAAGACCATTTTCATTTCCCCCAGCTTGACTTTTCTGAGCTTAATGCGGTATTTCAAGCCGATGTTCTTTATTCAGCTCTTTCATTGATTGCTCTTTTATATAACGTATCTCTCTTTTTATGTGAACCATCCTAGAAATGCTCATTCATTCATTCAGTGAATGCCTTTCCTATTAATACATTGATTAATGAATCGAGTTTCAGGGCCATCTCCTGAGTCTCTGGAAGTCACATCTGCTCGCTGGTGGTGAATACAAATTGTTCCTAACATCCATCCAATTAAGGGCATATGAATAAGCATTACATCTGAAATCCTGTCCATGCTTCTTAAGAGCATTTATCTACAGCAGGATGCACAGTTGGGTCCCCAGATAGCCCTCCAACACCATTATTATTATTATTATTATTATTATTATTATTATTAGCAGCAGCAGCAGCAGCAGCAGCAGCAGCAGTAGAAGCCATTTCATTACAGTAAACGGGGCACTGCTCTACCCTGTTTTACATATCACTTGGGAAGACAGGCAAACTAATGCCAGTGTAGTGGAAGAAGCAAAGAGCACCAGTGTTACAGCAATGATTCTTCAACATCAACTTCGTTGGACTGGTCATGTTGTGCAGATGCCTGATTATCATCTTCCAAGCAACTACTCTATTCCGAACTTAAAAATGGAAAGCGTAATGCTGGTGGTCAACAAAAGAGGTTTAAAGACTGTCTCAAGGCAAATCTTTAAAAAATTGTAGTATAAACACAGACAATTGAGAAACACTGGCCTGCGAGCTCTCCAACTGGAGAACAGCCTTTACCAAAGGTGTCATGGGCTTTGAAGATGCTCAAACTCAGGATGAAAGGGAGAAATGTGCTAAGAGGAAGGCACGCTTGGCAAACCCTCACAGTGATCAACTCCCATCCGGAAGCCTATGTCCCCACTGTGGAAGGACATGTGGATCTAGAATTGGCCTCCACAGTCACTTACGGACTCACTGTTAAAATCATGTTTATGGAAGGCAATCTCACTCGGCTACGAGTGATGGCCAAAGAAGAAGAAGCTCCACCAACCTCAGTCTGCCCTCAGCTAGCCTCCCACCTGCCCTGCCTTTCTCACATATAATCAAGGAAGGGGTGGTTCTGCCTGTTATTGGCTCTGCCTTCACCTCCTGTTGCTCTCCCTGCCTTCTGCCCTTCCCATCCCAAAGGGCACCAGCCACCACTGATCATAGGCTATTATAAAATAGGCTTCTAAATGGCTTATCTACCAGCAGTGGCCAGATTTGGGGAGCCACCCACTAAAGTGTGTCACTTGATGTAGCCTTTCCTTGCAAGGAAGAGTCTCCAGTTTCCCCTTTGGTCTAATTATGATTCCTGCTCATGCTAAGGGCCACGTTTTATGTGATCTGGTTTGCCAAAATCTGGGGCAATCCACACACACACAAAAAGCTCAGTAGAGACTAGGACTCCTGAGTTTCTGGTCCTTGTGCTTAATAAATGTTCTAAATAAAGGGAGCTTCACCGCTGTTCTTCATGCAACACGCCTTCGGTTCAGTCAAGCCACTTCCCCCATGCCCAGCTCCACAAATACAATCAAAGCTGGATCAGAAAACACAAGATAGGCATCCGGCAGGCTGTTTATTCAGTAAACAGCTGCAGAGTGGTTTGCTCTCCATTCTTTCCAGTGACACGGCTTGGCAAGAAGCCGGGCCAGCAGTAAGCACCATGCTATTACAACAGGAGAGCAAGGTAAATAAGGTGCCCTGAGGCAAAAAGGCCTCGAGGTCAGACGTGGAACAACGGAGACACAGATCTATGCTTTATAGAGACAAAACCATTTCAAGGGATGGATGAATCAGTTTGTTTCCTGTCAGTGTCACTCATGTGCTTATTCATAGGTCTGTTTCACCCTGCTCCACATTAATCTGTTTTTTTCCTCTCTCTCTCTCTAAAAGATCATGAAAATTCACATTTACACATCTTTGAATTTACAAAATGCACCTTTATCTAAAAAAAAATGCTTTCATAAACATATTTTGCTACAGTTTATGAACTACAGAATATGAACCAGAGACCTTCTACATACAAATCATCTGTTCTGCTGCTGTGCTCTGCAGATCTCCCATCTTCTCTCTTCCCCACCCTAACTTAGCCAGGCACATATCTGGCACACACACACACACAAAAATCAACATGGAAACTTTTAATAGGTCACAGCAAATATGCCACCATTTTGCTATTCCCCCCACTCCCCTTTAATTATCATCAGCACTAAATAAAAAAAATAAATGGCACGATGCCAGACTCCCAGAATGAGAAAATCCTAATCTACAAATCATTCCAGGAGGAAGTTAATTTAATGGGAAAAACTAGTGGGTGGCAGTAGGTGGATAAGGGGAACTTAGTTGAGTTGGTTACAGTGTGGTGCTGATAACGCAAAGGTTGCAGGTTCGACTCCCATATGGGACAGCTGCATATTCCTGCATTGCAGGTAGTTGGATTAGATCAGGCATAGGCAAACTCCAGCCCTCCAGATGTTTTGAGACTACAATTCCCATCATTCCTGACCACCAGTCCTGTTAGCTAGGGATGATGGGAATTGTAGTTCCAGAACATCTGGAGGGCCAGAGTTTGCCTATGCCTGAATTAGATGGTCCTCAAGGTCCCTTCCAACTCTATGTTTCTATGCTATTAGGGGCAGAACATGAGAAAGTGTCCTAGGAACCTAACCTGCATTCTGGGCTACGTGAACACGACACACTAAAAAAACAACACATTGCTTCCCCAGAAAGAATGCTGGGAACCTCGTTTTTTCAAAGGAACTGGGAACTGTAGCTCTGTGGGGGTGGGGTACAGTTTACAGGGGAAAGTGGGCTGCTTTAAACATATGCCTTAGAGAGTCACTTCACCAAAGAAATATGTAAACAGTATTTATATCCTGCCCTTCCTCCAAGGAGCTTTGGGTGGCACACATGGCTCCTCTCTCCATTTCATCTGCACAACAGCCCTGCAAGATTGGTTACACCGAAAGAGAGCTGGTGCCAAAGTTGCCCAGCAAGTTTTGTGGCCAAATAGACACTTGAGGCCAGATGTCCCTGATCCATGCCGAACGGTCAGCAACCACACCATATTGGCGCCCATGTGCCATTTGATTTCCCTTTTGGCTGCATTCAGGGCCTCACCCTGCAAAATCACACCAGCTCGTCTGACCCTGCAGAACCACACCAGCATCGATTCTCCTGTTACCAGTTTTAAACAGGTTCCCGTCCCCTTAGCAAGTGCTGTCCAGACTTTCCTTCCTTTGGGCACCTTGAAGGCCAGCAACTTAGGAGTCAAACAAGCAAGTCATCAGAAGATCTACTGATAAAAAGGTTGCGTCTTACCTAATCTCTCTCTCTAGCTTTTGGTTTAAAGGGTTGCCATGAACCCAAATGCTTCAGAGGACTCCCCGGGAAAGCAACAGAACATCAGAGATCCTCTTTGAGGAGAAGGAAGCAAGCGCGTTTAAGAAGGGAAGGATCCACCCAAGTGGAACTCCTCGGTCTTCTCCAAGTTAGAGAACCCAAAGCGATGGTGTTTTCAGCTCCTTGTCGTACTGCTTTCCGTGTTTCATTACGTTTCCAGATAAAGAGCAAAGGCCAGAGACAGAAGGTTCTGTTGCAACCATAAACGCTACCGAGCTGTTCCTGTAGGAGCTTGTTAGAGGTTGCCAAACTCGCTTTCGCTTCAAAGAGGGGAAGAAGTGCTAGCAGTACAAAAACCAAAAGACATCTAGAGAGAAATTGGTGGCGGGGTGGGGAGAGAAATGTACAGAGCACATACCTCAGTTTTCACTCTTTTTCATTGGACAGAGAGTGCAGCTTCAATGATTCTGTCTCCTGTGCATACACGGTGTCTCCCATGTAGAAATCTCAAGAGAGAGAGAGAGAGAGAGAGAGAGAGCGAGCAAAAGCTCCTCCCATGTATATTTTGCATAAGGAGGGCCCGGAGATTACAAAGCAACTTTTTATCGTCCTTGTTCCAACAGCTCCAAGGTAACAAGTTCTGACGGAGGAGGAGGAGGCCAAAGGCAAGCAGAGGGAGTTTACCGGCCTTAGGTGGACTTCATTCTGCCTCTTGCTCTCTCTTGTTTTCAAACAAACGGGAACTTGTTCTTCAGGTTGGGAGCTGAAAGAAAACTGTTTGTGGCTATATTCGAGCGCGGTACTGCCTTGTGCACCGGCGGGCTGGGGATGGTAAAAGGCATGTTCTGTTAACTCGCAGGCTCCCATGTGGGCGGTCAGGTTAACCATTAGCACACAGACGGGATGGGCTTGGAGTTTTGGACTTCCTCATCCCGCTGCCAGGGGTAGTCGCTCCTTCGCCAGGTCTGTTGTAGCAACAGCAAAGAGAAGGAAAGAAACAAAACAGGTTTTCATATCTGCAGTAGTTCAACACAAACATCTGGCATCGAAAGCTTATTCTGCATCCTTATTATACATTTATTATTTTAAGGGGTGTGTGCGGTGCTGCACCATAATGCTCTGCATGTCGAAAAGCCCAGGTTAAATCTCCCAGTGTCTCTAGTTAAAAGGATCTCAGGTCCTGCCAAGACTTTGGAGATACTTTGCCAGTAGAAGCAGACGAGACTGAGCTAGACGTAGGCAGTACTGCATGCAAATCATGTATACAAAGTGAATATGTGCAGCTTTATTATATCTGTATAAAAACCATGTGTTCAGTTCATGGGGTAGAGCCGAAGTTTAGTGGTAGAGCATCTGCTTTACATGCAGAAGGTCCCAGGTTCGGTCCCCTCAATTTCCAGGTAGGGATGGGAATGTTCCCTGCCTGAAACACTGGAGACCTACTGCCAGTTAGTGTAAAGGTAAAGGGACCCCTGACCATTAGGTCCAGTCGTGACCGACTCTGGGGTTGTGGCACTCATCTCGCTTTATTGGCCAAGGGAGCCGGCGTACAGCCTCCGGGTCATGTGGCCAGCATGACTAAGCCACTTCTAGCGAACCAGAGCAGTGCACGGAAACGCCGTTTACCTTCCCGCCAGAGCAGTACCTATTTATCTACTTGCACTTTGACGTGCTTTCAAACTGCTAGGTTGGCAGGAGCAGGGCCCGGCAACCGGAGCTCACCCCGTCACAGGGATTCGAACCGCTGACCTTCTGATTGGCAAGTCCTAGGCTCTGTGGTTTAACCCACAGCACCACCTGCATCCCTTGCCAGTCAGTGTAGACAGTACTAAATTAGATGGCCCAATGGGTCCAAGGCAGGTTCTAACATTCCTACAGGGACACCAGTTGTCTCAGAGCTTCATTCAGGTGGTCTCTGTGGTTGTGGTTCAGGCAGGGAACATATTCATATTGATTTTCAATTACCTCTTTTATATTTTATATTCTGTTTCACTGTGTTACCATTTTAATTTCACGGCATTCAAACTGTAATATGAGAACACACATAAGAAATAAAAGGATATATTTAAAACAGATGAATAAATGAGTAAATTAAGTTAATTCAGAATATGCAGAAAATATTTTTAAAAAACCGCAGAAAGAGGGGGAAGGAAGTCGAGTTTTGAAATGTTAATATGATTGTAGAATTATTGAAATGTATAAAACTGAAAGCCATAAATAAAATTAATAATAGTAATAGTAATACTGTAGAAAGGATTTTGAAGGTTGGCTGTGTTTCAGTTTGTGTACCATTTTGCAACGTGCAGATTTGGCAGGTTCATCATGTGCACTAAATTGAATTTTCCTAATTCTCACAGACGCACTGCTCTCAAATAAAACTAAGGCCCAGTTTCCGCTTGGGCAGGTGGATACATGACTCGCATTCCAGGTACATTCTTTTGCCCATGAGTGCCCATTGTCAATATCCAGGTAACACAAAAAGCTAGGCTGCATACATACCATACATTTAAAGCACATGACTTCCCCCAAAGAATTCTGGGAACCATAGTTTACCCTTCCCTAAAGTATCATTCCCAGCACCCTTAAACTACAGTTTCCAAAAATCTTTGTATGGAATGTACACTATTCTAGAAAGAGTGAATCCACTGGCAGAACAGTAAAACATAGCTTCCAACATTGGCCATCTCCATAGTAGGGCATTATCTCACGACATATAACTCTGGTCTGATGTTTATTTGTGGGTGGCCTGGAATACAGACTCCCATTCTCCCCCCCCCCCCCCGTCATCATATTCATTGTTATTCCACTGCTTGCCACCCACAGCAGCTGGTGGAGTATTGACAGAAAATATTATTGGTGTGTTGTTTTGCCCTGGCCCTCCCCAGTCACTCCTCCCTCAGTTAGTTTTGGGGATTAAACCGCAGTTTGCTTGTCTGCAAGATCTGGGGTTCCACAGTGCTCTGAGTGGGGTGGGGAGGGGCTTCCCAGTCTTTCAATACATTAAAACAATTCCCAGCCTTCATCTTCCAACTGATACAGAACTTCAGCTTAAAGCATCCAGGGATCAGATTGCATTGCTGAAGGCAGGGGAGTCCTGAACCCCTTCTCGCTTTTCACCAAAAACAAACCCATCCAAGAGTCCCTGCAATATCAAAGGAGGTTTTGTTTTTATTTTTTTAATAGCAGGAAGCAACATGAAGACCCTTGTTTCTTCTTTATCCACAGTACAACCAGGAGCGCTGGGCACCATGAGTTCCTATCACCACATCTGCAGATTACTTGGATGCAATGCTTGTTCAAGACAGAGCTATAATTTGCAATGAGGTTTGCAGGGGGATCTGTAGCACAGCAAGAGGAGATCTACTTATTGCAACGCCTGGACTTGGGACCATTTCATATTCCTTCCTGCCTGCTGCAGCAAACTCTTGGAGAAGTTTTAATTAAAAAAAACAGTGAATAGAGGCTGAGGAATCATTTGGCATGCACACACCAGCAGCACAACAGGAATTATGGGTGCTTTAAGTTGAGAAAGCAGAGGGTAAGAAATTATAGAAGGACTGAAGGGGAAAGGACAATAAACAGACCCTGACCCAGACATTTATTTTATTATTACAGGTCTCGTGCAAATCTCATATGAACGGCAAACAGTAGCCGGAGTGTGGTAATAGAGGACTTGCTGATCGGAAGGTTGGCGGTTCGAATCCCCGTGATGGGGTGAGCTCCTGTTGCTCGGTCCCTGCTCCTGCCAACCTAGCAGTTCGAAAGCATGTCAAAGTGCAAGTAGATAAATAGGTACCACTCCGGCAGGAAGGTAAATGGTGTTTCCGTGCGCTCTCTGGTTCGCCAGAAGCGGCTTAGTCATGCTGGCCACATGACCCGGAAGCTGTATGCCGGCTCCCTCGGCCAATAAAGCGAGATGAGCACTGCAACCCCAGAGTCGGTCACGACTGGACCTTAATGATCAGGGCATCCCGTTACCTTTACCTTACTGAAACATGACAACAATGTCCATTTCAGTTTCTCTGTCTTTCATTTTCCACCCCAATGTTAAGTTCAGTTCTCCACATTTCCACAGTTTGCGTTACACACACACACACACACACACACACACGATAATTCAACGGCAAACTAGTGTGAATTTTTCCAAACATACACAGTTCTGTACGGTTTCCCCAGACATTATATAATATTTTATATGTCTTTTTTTCCCCACCAGATAGATACATTTTCATGTACGCCTTACCCTACTGTGTACATTTTTGTCCGCGGTAGTTGGCTGGAGAAACTGCAATGCAAAATTCGAAGAAGTGTAAATTTCAAAGGATGGCTGTGTTTTGGCTCGCTTATTGTTTCAGAAAGCGCCAATTTTGAATGCAAACTGGATTGGATTTCTCTCCCCCACCCTGCCATTCCTAGTCACTCGTGGCACATGACAAACTGGCCACCCCAAAAATAATGTGCTACGGACTGTCCACAGTGGCAGGGACTGCCAAGGTACAGCAGGTTGTTTTTTACTTTTGGGATTTTCTGCGGAAAGGTGAAATTTGGACAAAATGTAGAAAAAGCACAAGATGCCATTTTGATGACGGCAACATCATGTGGCCAGTACAAAAAGAACAAAACATCAGAGCTTAATCGGCACCAAGTCCATAATAAGCTGCCGTGTGCAAGCGCGTTCCCCACTCCACAAATGTCTTAATTCATCGCCTGGTAAGGAGGACTACAAGAAAGCCCCAGTTCCTGGTGTTGCAACAAGCAAATTGCTCATCAATCAGGTTCCCTCTCGCTGCTACAGAGCCCAGAAACCTCTTTGCAAATTATAGCTCTGCCCTCACCTAGCATCAGGCTGAGCATCCCATAGACAGAGCTGTAAATCATCCCGCCTCCAAGTCAGAGCACTGGAGTTGCTTAACAGCTTGGAAGTGGCAGCCTGGGAAAGTATACGCAGAAGGTGTCCAATTAAAAAGAGAAATTGCTTACAACCAAATATATTGCAAGAACACCAGAGAGTTATGGCCCCGCTTCCCCTGCCAATTAAAGGAAGGGAATTTCCTAAAATCGGAATCCATTTTCAAACGAACCTCTAAGACGTCATAATTGTGTTACATAGGAGGCTGTCTTCTGCTGATAGGGGCCCATTGGTCCATCTAGCTCAGTATTGTCTGCACTGACTGGCAGCTGCTCTCTGCAGCTTCAGGCAGGGTTCTCTCCCAACCCTATCAGGAAATGCTGGGGATTGAACCCGGGGCCTTCTGCATGCAAGGCAAATACTCTACCACTGAGCTACCACCCTTCCCTTTCCCCCCGGTTTTTCGTTGAACGCTCACTGTTTCCCTCTGCCCTACTTCCCCTGCTGCTCACATCATAACTAAAATATCAA